AGAACCATGTCCTGGACTGAAATATAAGTCTTCCTCGCTAATTTTTGCTACATATGTTCCCTCTGTCTTGCTATTTTTGCTGTCGGAAGACCATATTTGATGCTTTTTGTTGTTTCTTTTGTTGTTTGGTGCCTAGATTCATGTACCTCGGGTGGGAAGAAAGGTAGAAGTGCTAGAAGGGGAGATCAGACCATTGAAATTTGTTTTTGTAGAAAATATTTCAGATTAATGTTCACCCATCCATGGAAGATTGATAAAAAGTTTGCCATCATGAGGAGATGATGAGGAAGATGCTCGAGTTCCAAACCAGAACGATTGTAGAAAATATTTCAGATTAATTTTCACCCATCCATGGAAGATTGATAAAAAGTTTGTCATCATGAGGAGATGATGAGGAAGATGCTCGAGTTCCAATCCAAAACGACGTCGTTGGAGGCAGGGGGAGCCGATGGCAACCAAGGGAGTGGAGGAAACCCTAATCCGATAACCAGAGAGGAAGATCAGGAGGTGGAAATATTGGGGGAAGAAGAGGAAATGTCACTTCCGTGGGGAAAGGGTGCAAGAGTATGATTTTTTTGTGGAGCTACAGAGTTTGGAAGGAGATAAAGATGGGGAGAAGATAGAATCACCAGATATGGTTCAGCCTCCCCTACAACAATATCGAGGGGTGTTCCAGCCAGTTCAGGGGTTGCCTCCGCGAATTTGTGTGCATCAGTGCATGCTATCATGTTGAAGGAAGGAGTCTCGCATATCAGTGTTTCTTTGTACTGTCATCCCCGTATCCAGAACAAAGTAATTGAGATATTATTTAAGGAGATGTTGGAGGCATGAATCATTCAACCCAATGACTTCCAATCAATTACAAGCATTTCAAGTAAAGGTATTAAAACTAATTAATTATAGAAATAGATGCAACCTAACTATTCTATGCTACCCCACAGTCAGCCTAAATTTATTATTGTTATTACAAAGTTTTGATTTATCTCTATGAGCTATGTCATGATTTATGCCAATCTGTTATCAAACACTTAAATAGTATTTAGTCTAACTAAGAAGTACAACTTAGTCCACAGAGACATTCCCAATGTCAAATCAAATAATTACAATTATCCTAAGATAAAACCAAGGTTTAAAATTGCGCAATATGAGGCTCGCCTTTGCGCAATTCCAGTAAAAAACGCCTCGATGCTTACGCCTCGAGTTTTTTTATGAGGCTTGCGCCTCAACTTGGTTGAGGCCATGAGGCTTATGCCTCACGCTATATATATTAAAACTTACATAAATCTTGAAGTAAATGCCCGACATTGGACTCTATAGGAGAGAAGGAAGGGGAGAGAACAGTTCACCATAATGATGATTCAAATGAAAAACCCCTTAGTGATGACAGTGCTGATGACTTATGAGTTCTTATGTGATATGTCATTGCTATTTATTTTTGGAAATTGGAATTAACTTATGAGTTCTTATGTGATATGTCATTGCTATTTATTTTTGGAAATTGGAATTATATGTTAATGAAAAGAATATTGGGATTTGGGAAAGATAGAATTTTGAGTTGAACTATATTTCATGTTGTCTTATTATTCATATATTTTGATTTCACTTCATATCTTATGCTTTTTATGCTTTATATTATTTACTCATTAGTATATGACAAATTTATCATTTTATGTTTACGCAACCTTTTGATTTTGAGGCTTACGCCTCAAAACGTCTAGAGGCTTACGCCTCGCCTCATGAATGAAAAACGCCTCAATACCCGATTACGCAATTTTAAACATTAGATAAAACCAATAATATTAATCTCAACTATGTAGCATATAAAGTATATTAAAATAAAAACTTAAGTTTAATATTAACATTAACTGGGTATATAAATTTTGGTTTTTATTTTTGCGAGAAACAAATGGATGAATAAAAGGGTTATCATAGGCTCTCTAATGTTTGATGACGTTGAACCAAAGAGTTATGAAGTTGAACCATAATTATAGTGATTGCTAGCTGATGGAGGTTTCATGATTTGCGAAATGGAGGAGATGGCATCTGATGTAGACAAGGGGCTTCCCTCGAACAAGCTCAATCAAAATTGAGCTGAAATTTTAGCTCATTTATGAGCTAGTCTTTAGTTCACTTATTGAATTAAGGGTTAACTCATTATTAGCTAACATTTTAGTTCATAGTTATCTTTTTATTAAATGTAATTTTTATAGTTTTTTATGTTTTAATTTATGTTGTCTCTTGGGATTCCAAAATGGCTTTTGGAATCCCAAGAAAATGTGTTTTCCCATGCCGTGGCTCCTTGGCTTCCACAGTGGGCTGCTGTTTTCCGTGCCATGGCCCTTGGATTTCCGGCCGGCTGTTGGTTTTCCGAGCCTGGGGGGTTTCCTGTGGCTTTGGCGCCTTGGTTCCGTGCGGCCTCTTTGGCTCTCGTGGTGGCTCCTTTGGTTCCTGGGCTTGGGCTGTTTTCCGTGAATGCATGGGGGGATTTCCATGCTTGTGTCGCTTGGATTTGTGTGTGAATTCAATGCCATGTCTTTTTGTATTCAATTCTCATACCTATATATATGGGATGGTTTGTAATGTTTAAAAAGAGAATGATATGTTATTTTTGGAAAAGGTATAACCTGCGGGTTTGCTTGGAAAAGCTTGCGAGCTTTGTCCACCTTTCTCATCCCCTCCGGAAATCTTGCGAGCTCTTTCCAACCTTCGTCTTGGCTTCTAATATCTTTCGTCTCTCCGCAAGTGTCACTCCACGTGATGTCTTCGCCAGCGAAGGGGTTTTCTCCGACCTCTTACTGTATCTTTCTTCTCAAAGTGAAGCAAGTTTAGGGTGTCTGAAAGTTTTGTGGAAGAGTCTTTGTAATTCGTTTAAGTGTTTGAGTCGTTTCTGTAAGTTTTAATTTATAAGTCTGTTTTAGATTTGAAATGTAAGAGTTTGCTATCTTATTCTTCTTTAGTCTCCTCCCTTTCTTCCGTTGCATGTGTGCTTCACCCCGTGTTGCCGGCGGAGGTCCTCGGGTGCCCCATCCCCCGGATTTTTGCCCGCATCATTTGGTATCAGAGCAAGTTAGGAAGTCCTAGATTGTCAAGTCTTATTTTTGTTTGTCAAGTTTTATTTTAGTTTGTTTTGTCGTGAGTCATATTGTGAGTCTAAGTTTAGATTGAATTTTGAGTCTAATTTTGAGTCAGTCAAAAAATGGAAAACAACAAAAAGATGGCTTCATTCATGGAGGAAAACGATCAAGATAATCCTGATGTCCCTCTTCCGTTGGACAGATGGATTCCCACAGAAGGCGATTCAACTGATTCGCTTTAAGATCGTCTATACAAGCTTCAATATCACATGTTCTTATGTGATCAAAAATTCGAGAACTGGAAGAGATATCTACAAAGACAATTCGAGGAGCAGGAAAAAATTTTAAAGAAATTTGAAGATAAGATCAAATAGCTAGATGCACAATATTCACCTCCTCAAGAGAACCAAAAGCTAACTCATCGGGAGATGAGTTCTCAAGAAGGGGAGTCTGATGTAGACAAAGGGGGGGGTCAACTCATGTCCAAAATAAATCAATTTTGGCTTCCCTCGAGTTTACTAGCTCAATCAAAATTGAGCTGAAATTTTAACTCATTTATGAGCTGGTATTTAGTTCACTTATTGAACTAAGGGTTAGCTCATTATTAGCTAACATTTTAGTTCATAGTTATCTTTTTATTAAATGTAATTTTTATAGTTTTTTATGTTTTAATTTATGTTGTCTCTTGGGATTCCAAAATGGCTTTTGAAATCCCAAGATAATGTGTTTTCTCATGCCGTGGCTCCTTGGCTTCCACGGTGGGCTGTTGTTTTCCGTGCCATGGCCCTTGGATTTACGGCCGGCTGCTGGTTTTTCGATCCTGGGGGGTTTCCCGTGGCTTTGGCGCCTTGGTTCCGTGCGACCTCTTTGGCTCCCGTGGTGGCTCCTTCGGTTCCTGGGCTTGGGCTGTTTTCCGTGAATGCATGGGTGGATTTCCGTGCTTGTGTTGCTTGAATTCGTGTGTGAATTCAATGCCATATCTTTTTGTATTCCATTCTCATATATAACCTATATATATGGGATGGTTTGTAATGTTTAAAAAGAGAATGATATGTTATTTTTGGAAAAGCTATAACCTGCGTGTTTGCTTGGAAAAGCTTGCGAGCTTTGTGCACCTTCTTTCTCATCCCCTCCGGAAATCTTGCGAGCTCTTTCCAACCTTTGTCTTGGCTTCTAATCTCTTTCGTCTCTCCGCAAGTGTCTCTCCATCTGTATCCTTCTTCTCAAAGTGAAGCAAGTTTAGGGTGTCTGAAAGTTTTGATGAACAGTCTTTGTAATTCGTTTAAGTGTTTTAGTCGTTTCTGTAAATTTTAATGTATAAAATCTGCTTTAGATTTGAAATGTAAGAGTTTACTATCTTATTCTTCTTTAGTCTCCTCCCTTTCTTCCGTTGCGTGTGTGCTTCACCCCGTGTTTCCGGCGGAGGTCCTCGAGTGCCCCATCCCCCGGATTTTTGCCCGCATCAGCATCGCAGAGGGGCGAAGGGTTTTCAGGTTGGTTTCCCTGATTTGGCACTTGGCCAATAGCCTAATTCAGTTATTACGGTTTGGGTTACAACAGTTAAAAAGAAATTATAATTATGTTTATCTATATCATGATCATGATCATCACTATCCATAACCTTATCCCAAATTATTCTTACTGGTTACTACAAGACATTAGTCTTTTGAGCATTATTTTACCCATTTATCTGCACTCTGTTTTGTATAGCTTATGCCATCCATTTTGCATGCCTAAAGTATTATGTTTGTTTATATTATTTTAGTTCAAATAGGTGCTAATCCTACTCTCTCTCATTTATATGTTAAACATAACATTTTAAGTGCCATTCTTACAATTTTATAGCGAAGTGGGTTATTATCTGTTGTAATCTTCGTTCTTTTTCCTTTTAACTTTTATTTTATTCATAATTTGTTAAATATGTAGGTACCCTCCTTCTTTATCCGCAAACTTATTACTCAACTCTTCTCCTTTATTAACATCCAGCTCTTCAATAGGTAAATGGATTACTTCTTGAGTTTGCACCATCTTGACTAATAATATCCTGATTTTTTATCTGTTTGGTTTCTTCTTTTTTTTTTTTTTTGGTAAAATATTAGTTTGTTGCTGAGAAGGGAATGTTGTACATTTTCTAATGGAGAGTATGTGAAGTCTGGACTTGCAATGCTGGAAAAATGGATTTCTGATGTTACTGAAGAGGTAATGGCTAATGTTTAGCATTTTGATTATTCTTACCTGACCCTTTTGCTCGCTGTAGTTTGCAGGAACGTCCTGGCATGAGCTGAATTATATCAGACAAGCTGTTGGTTTTCTGGTAGTATGGATGCACCAAATTACTAGGTTTTGTATAAAAATATAACTTTTTGATGGATTTAATTTGTCCTCTTATTGTTACAGGTTATACACCAGAAAAAGAGGAAGACTCTCGAAGAGATCAGACAAGACCTTTGCCCTGTACGATCTATCTTGCCCTTTAATCCTTTATCGATCCTTTAGAAATGCCGACTTTTCATAAATTAGGATGGATAGTGTAGAATTGACTACTTGAATATGCACAGGCACTCAGCGTAAGGCAAATTTATCGGATTTGTACAATGTATTGGGATGACAAATATAGCACACAAAGTGTTTCAAATGAGGCATGTTCATTTTGGTGCCTCAAAACTCAATTAATCCTATATGCTTGTGTTTTTTTATTTTTTAACCGTAAGTACATGACTTCCAGGTTGTTGCTTCAATGAAAGAAATGGTAAACCAAGATTCTCAAAATCTAATGTCAAGTTCATTTTTGCTTGATGATGATATGAGGTATGTGACTTTCAATGTGCAGTCCTAGTTTTTTTTAGCATGTTATGACTGCTATTTTCTCGTTAATGTGCTTGCTGAATTTTTTATGTTGAAAATTTATAAACGTTTTGGAATATTGATTATATAAATAGGTGCAATACGTGGGAGGTGCAGTTTCAATTATTGTAGACTTCGGCTTTGTTTGAGACGGCTTTTTTATTGCTTCTTAAAACAATTTTCTATTTTAAAAATTAAAATTTTTATACTAGAAAGTTGCTTTAAGAAGCAGTAAGAAAGCCGTCCTGAACGAAGCCTTTGAGTTTGAAACTGGATGCTTAGACTGAAGCTGATGGGTTGGAATTGACTGTACTTTACAATTACCTTTTATATGAAATATGCTTAGGAGGAACTGCTAATATGATGCAGGACTACGTACGAATGCAATGTTTGTAAAGATTTGCACAACTCATGATTAGAATAGCAATGACGAAACCATTAGCTTTTAAAACAATGAATAAAAGAAGAAAGGGGTCACACCCGCTTAGGCTAAATCATATAACCAAAGAGTTGGAAAACTTTTAAAATAAATTAGTAAATCACTTTATGCTGAAATAGTAGTGTCAATACAATCCCTAATCTAACAATGAAAATTAATAAGCATAAAGACACTCAAAACCCTACGTTTACTAAGCTTAACAGAAGCAGGGAGAATCGTCCTTCGTGACTACAATCAAGCACAAGAGAAAGTTAGATTTAAGAAATATATTGAAAGGGGAAAAAGAGAACCTCTCGTCAAGGAGCGGTGGACTCAACGCCTTCAAAATGCTCGTCGATTGCTTCCACTAAAGTGTCCAGAATACGCTCTAGGTAGTCTTCGACGGTGTGGTCGATCCTCATATTAACGTCGAAGAAGGTTGACTGAAGAATATCAGTGAAGTCGTCCTCGTCGAAGGTTAAGCCGTATTCAGTTTCTGGATCCGCCATTCATAGGATCTAGGTAACAAATCTCCTCCCGTCTTGATAGTGTTCTTAAGTATTGATGATGAGAAAGAAGTTTCTCTTGTAAGTTGAGAGAAGAAACAACCCCAAATCTCCTCCCAAATCTGAGAACAATTTCAGATTTTAATCCAAAACCTGAGAAAATTTCAGATTTCTCTATTTAGAAGATAGAGAATTTGGAGGGAGAATTAAGGCTTCGAATTCAAGTGGGGAATTAATGAGCGAGAGAGGAGATTGGAGAGAGAGAGAGAGAGGGGGCGGGTAGGGGATAGGGCCGGCGGCTATGAGGAGGATGGAGAGGGACTTGGGAGAAATAAATGAAGTTGCCAAGTTTAGGTTTAGCAATTAGGAAAGGTTTGATTTACTCCAATTTAATTTGAAAATTAAATTGAGTTCTATTAGGAAACTTTCCTAAAATAGGTCAAGACAAATAGGAAAGAATTTGAGTTTGAATTTAATTAATTTGGATTCCCAATTGCTTAATAAATTAGAATTAAATTAGGAAATCCAGGGGGGGAAGGGAAGTGCGGGCCGGTGGTATGGCCTTGTATGGCCGGCGGCTAGGGAGAGAAAGGGAGGAAATTAAGGAGGCATTATATTTTAGAGTAAATTAAGTCATCCTAATTTATTTAAAATCCAATGGAGGGAGAATTTGAAAAGCTTTCCTAAAATAGATTTTATAATTTATGAAAGAATTTGAATTTCAAACTGAGAGAGATTTGAATTCAAAGACCCACTAAATTATGACAATCCAAAATTAGGAAGAATCCAAAGTAGGTAAAGGGGGTGGAAGGGGTTTAGGCCGGTGAGTTGAATGGGGCGGGTGAGGGTGGCCGGTGGCTTGTGGGGGTAGAAATCGTGGAGTTTGGTTAGGGGAGGATGTTGGCTTGAGTTTGGAGGTGGAGTTGGATGTAAGGACTACGAAGAAGGGAGGTGGAAGGGGAAAGACGAGAGGAAAAGAAGAAAACCATGAACCCGGCCATCTCCAAGGTTGGTGGGTGATGCGATCTCCCTCTCCTAGGGATCTCTCCAAAGTTCTCTCCAAGAACTCTCAAATGCTCTCAAAACACAAGTGTAGAAAAATCTCATAATAATCATTCATTTACTTGAAAAATAAAACATGAGGCTATAAATAGTCAAGTACATGAGACTCAAGAAAATAAAGACAAAATTGCCCTCTGGGCTTACATACAACATCTCCTACTAAAAGGGTACAACTGGAAAACAAATACATGACACTTGAAAATAGAAAATAGAAAAATACATAAGTAAGAAAATAACATAAATAACTCTAAAAGTACAAAGACTTGATCGTGGCTGTAGATCGGCGACCACGCCTCTGATAAACCTTCCACGAACTCATGTCCCCATCATAATGCTTTGCATATGCCCTCAGAGCTCATTTGGTAGCTTGAATTTTGAAAATATGCTTTGAAAAATATTGGCTTTTGTAGGTTATATTATTTTGTTGGATTAGTTCAAAATCAATATAAATTTTTTACTTCACAAACACCCCTAAATTTTCTCAAAAAATGAAGATTTATTTTCATATCCGGATTGAGTGATAACAAAATCATCTATTTCTAAAACATGTTTTTCATCTACGATTAGGGGTGTCAATATTTGACACGACACGAAAACCCGACCCGGACCCGACCCGGAAAATCCGGGTTGGACCCGACCCGATTTCAAAATGGGTAGGGTTCGGGTTCCAGAAATTGACCCGTTTAAAAAACGGGTCGGGTCCGGGTTCCCGGGTCAGTTCGGGTTCGACCCGAACCCGACCCGTGACCTGAAATTGACACCCCTGTCTACGATCAACCAAACGAGTTATTAGAATGTTATGTGCTGCGGAGCATAAAGCAACACGCCGATCCCATGGGGTAAATTTTATTGTTGGCCAAATTGTTTTTCATTACTTGATCTAACATGCTATGAAACATTCTTCTGAAGTCCATCTTTATTGTGCATCGTTAAGTGTGTTGATTTGGAACAATTTTCAATTCAAATTAAGCTTTTATTCAGAAAGTTTTAATGGCTTATTATCCTAATTGATTAGGAAGTGTAGATTATTTCCCAAATTTGTTACTTTGATTGGGGATTAGATCATGAAGTTTTTTCTTTGATTGTTTTGTCTCAAATCTATGCAAGAGAGAGCTAGAGAGCCAAATTGTAATCCATATTTTTCTTCAATATAGTGAAATCATCATCTCCTCTCCGTGAACATAAGCATCTTCGCCGAACCAAATAAATCGTCGCATTCTTTATTTTGGTTGTGTGATTTGTATTGTTTCCGCTGTGTATTACACAACAAAGTGCGTGTATGATGGATATGTAAATATAAATATTTAAATTGCATTAATTAAAATTTAATGGGATTTTGTGCGCTAGTGTTCAAACAACAGCAGATTTCTTGGTTCTGATAAAATATTTCCATTAATTAGCTACCAAAAATCTGAACCTTTATTTTGGTTTGAGTCCACAGCATTCCATTCAGCACTGAAGATATATCAAAGGCTATTCCCGCAATTGATCCCAATGATGTTGAGCTTCCTCAGTCACTTGAACATTTTCCATCAGCTCAGTTTCTTCTGGAACATTCCGAGGTAATTCGAGCTTGATGGTAGAACTTTTGCCGGAAAGCCCATTCGTGCTCGATCATTTGCAAATATTGAGCAACCTCCTTTTATCAAAGAATATATATACGAAGATGGGTGAAGACCAGCTGTGTCTTAAGGATTGCAAATATTGAGCAACCTCCTTTTATTGATGTAGATTGCTTCTTTTTGCCCTTTTTTTTTGGAAGAAGCAACCATATTTATAGAAAGAGAGCATGTAAATTATGTCAGAAATATCAACATTTATAGGTTAAGTATTCAAGTTGGTCCCGTTCAATTTGTTTATAAAAATTTTGTTAGAGTTGTTGGTTCTGAGCATGTTCTATTACTTCGATTCGCTAAAAGTTTAGTTCTGTAAGACTTGATAATCCTGCTCTCTGATGCACTGCTAAGCGCTAAGGAAACTATTTTGGGACTGTTTGCCTGTTTGGGGTGCCTTCAGTTAGTTAAAAAAAATAGTTGTAAAATTAAAATGATTTTTTTTTAAATTATTGCGGTAATTATAAATTTTTTTGAAAAATAATAATAAAGTTGGAGTGAAAAAAACAATTGAGATAATTTATTGAAAATAATATTTATAACCAAAGGATAATTTAAGTTTTATTTGGGATTATATTTTTATTGATTTTTAAAATAGAATTTTAGAATAAAAGTAAAATTCAAAAGTCATCACAAATGTTTGGAATTTTGAACTATTTAGCATTGTTTTGTTTGCTATATGTATGATGTGTAAAATAACTTAATTTAAATTATGCTTAAATTGCATGCATTTAAATAGCCGCTGAACTTGTCTGTTGCTTATCATCATAGGGATCCTAAACTTACATTCTCAGACTATTGCAATTGATATCAAGTCGTCCACATCAATTCTTTACTTAATATTTCATTCAATTCCCAAAGAACTTGTTAACTACAATTTTTTTTAGACGAAATTCACATTTTCTTATATTTACAAACAATCCATCAGAGTAATCATAGAAGTAACTAATTTATTTATTATAAATCTATGCTCGAGATATCGCTAAGCTTTTTTTGGGCTGAGGTTGGACTGACAGTATAATTATCATTATTAAATAACAAATTCAGCAAAATAGTATAATAGAAATTTAAGAGGAAAAAAAAATAAGAATGGGTAATACCTGACCCGGACTGAATTTCAATAGTAAGTAAGAGCAAACAATTTCCAGCAACGAAAGCTTGTATTATGGACAAATTATTAGGTGCGGACACCAGACAGAGAAAATCATTCGGATTTCTTTCTGTCTACAGTCAAATCGCAACTGCTACAGTACATGCGCTTTTGCTATAGACAGAAAGAAATTCAGATGATTGTCTCTGTTTGATATTTGAACCTAATAATTTCTCTGTATTATGAGCACTTCTTTGACAGTAATCCAAACTTTAGTCAGTCGAACCCCATTCTCATTTTACAAAGATGATCAAACAAAAGCCCCAACACATTCAGGCTATTCAGCTACAACACAAATTCTGTTACCAAGTAAGTGAGAACTGACGAAAATCCTAATGGGGGACTTCATGGTCGTCAGAAAAAACTCATAACGCCATGCTCGGAACTCCCTACAATTCAATCTAATCTATCCCCCACAACCAAAAAACCGGCAGCCAAAACCTCTCGCTAACTGAAGATTTTCTGCTCCTCAAAACCTAAGGAAGACAAAGATGATGAGGATGAACTGAGACTCTCCATGCCCTCCAAATCCATCAAAGAAAAAGACCTCACCGGAAAAGAGTTCCTGTCAGTTTCTTCAACCAGTGGAGAAGCCCAATGAGCTCCTTCAATCCTGCTGGAAGAATTGGCTTGCCTCTTCTTCGATCCACCCGACGACCGATCACACTCCCCCACCTCCCACCTGCTAGTCAAAGGCAGAAGTTTCTTCCTCTTCCTGCTATATGGATTCTCTGGCTTGCCCAGCTCCTTGGCAGATGATAATTTGGCCATGGCATCCGAAAGTACAGCGAAGGATTTCGACTTCCCGCAATAGAAATTTGAGATACCTCGCCTACAAAGTTTAAGAGATAGCCACACATATCACTAATGCAAACAACAATAGCAGTAAAAATCTCTTGCATGAGTGCCTTCGCAGTTCTCTAAAACGCTATTAAGGAATTCCTTATAAAAGGCCCTATAAAGAAGCAAACTTTAAAATTCTTTTTTTTTTAAAAAGGAACTCTCTACAAATATGATTTTAGTGGGATGAAACTTTCGAGTATTTTCAATTTACCCAAAAAAAGCTTTCGACTATTTTTTGTTCTTAGTTTGGGATGGCTTTTACTGCTTCTTAAATCAGCTTTTTAGTACTAAAAAAAATTTTTGCTGCTTCTTAAAGCTGTTTTTTTAAAAACAGTAAAAAAACAGTTCCAAACAAAACCTTAATTTAGAAGTCAAAAGTCAAATATGTAACTTCATGGGGAACTTGCATCAATTAGCCATATGCTAACTTCAATATCCAACATGAGCCGCCAAATAAAGCTGTAACTGGAAACTGACCCGTTCTGGAAAATACATTTCATCTATTTTATAAACAAGCCTGGAATCAGACAAGCTTTTCATATTAAAAAATGTTGAAAAAAATAAAGATTTCTGCAAAACTAAAGAATCTCAAGAGGTTGTTTCCTTTGAATTGATCCTTATTCCCAACAGTCAGCCTATTTAAGTTATAACGACAAGATGCCATCAGATACGTAGCTCCGACCAAGCAGTCAGTAAAAATGGTGCAAGTTCAATATGCCCTCTTACTCGTTTCCTTACTGAAACATCTATCCTAGTTTTGGAATAAAAAAAGATCTCATAATAACTGTACAATTACCTCGATGATGATCATCTAGTTAGTAGCTGTGACCACATTGAAACAATTATAGAGATCTAAGGGTTCAAATCAATAATTGAATCAAAAGCAGAGACCACAGCACCAGAATAGTCTCTCTTTTCCCTCAGAATCTATAAATAAGCAACAAAGAATCAGAAATTTGCATCCCTATGTTACATTAAAAGAGGTTAAATCTATTTTAAGAACAATTAGAGGATTACCAAATTACCCTTTAACCCCGAAACAACCAATAACATACTTATAGTAGCAGCAGACCAGTTCGTGCTTCCAGTCCACTCAAATCTTGTTCGCAAACAACACAATTGCTGGACAAAGAAGTTCGATAAACATATCTAGATACGAGAAACGAAAAACCCCACAATATTATTGCACTATCCAGAAATCGAGAAAATTACTAGCAAACCCAATTTTATTCGGATAAAAATAGCCGCAAACTTCCATCAGCATTTGAAAATACACATTAAAACAGAAAATAAAAGTTCAATGCTCTTCCGCGTACGATATCCAGCAACAAAACTCTGGAACTTAAAATCTCCCAAATCAACAACAACAAAGCAGAACAAAATCACAGAAATTCTCCAGATCAAGAAAGATTACCTAATCGGAAGCGAATCCTCCAAGGCGTCCATGGTCTCCAGCGGCCCCTTGTACGAGCTCTGCACTTCCGCCTCCCCTCCCTCCTCCCCACCCGCCAAAGAACAGTCACTGTTTCGACCAATCGAAGAACTCCTAGAAACCGAAGCCGTCAACTCTCCGATCGCCGCCGGCGACTCGCATGCCGGAAAACATGGAATTGTCCGGTCGCATCTCGGCCCTGATCCGATTCCCTCCTCCTCCAGAGCGATCGACGTCCGCCCGATCATCCCCCCAAGAAACAAGCAACAGTCAAGATCTCGCCGGCAAACGAGATCTCCTTCCGCTCCCAGCTGGTTTTCTAAGAAAAAGAAGAGAGCGAGCGCCAGACGGTAAGGAAGAGGAGAAAGGTATTTATCGAAAAATTTAAAATAATATTTGTAAAGATCACGTATCCTTACTATTTTAAGGTTTTAGATTAAATATGGATATTATAAAGATATAAGGTAGGCAAGGACCTTATCCTCTCAAATGAAAAGCAGATAAAGGAAAAGAGTAACGCTAGGCTGCCCCCATTTGCAGCTTATAAAATTTATTATTATTATTTCATTTTTCTAACAATTAATTAATTTTTTTATTTTTTTTAGTAGTATAGAAGTCCACGAATTAAAAGATATTCATTTCTTCAATTTTTTTTTCTATATTTTTAATTTACAGAAACAGCCGTGATGCACTAATGAATACACATTTGTATATTTTTAGGAAAATATGATTTAGTTTATTAAATAAAATTTAATTTATCATTTCTTGTAACTTGATTAATATTCGTTCTTAGTTAAAATGGAAAACCAAATGATCAGAATGGTCGATATCTAATGTCAATGGGTGAAGATGTAAGATGATAATTGTTGATAGATATTAATGTTTTATTTGGGACAATTTTTTAACAGCTTCTAAAAGCTACTTTATAATACAAAAATTTTTATTATGTACTAAAAAACTGCTTTAAGAAGCAATAAAAAAATCATCTCAAACGAAGCTTAGATGAATGTCAATAAAAAATGTGTGATAGACATTTAAATTCCATCAATTGAAAAGATATACATGAAAGATAAATGATGATTTTAATCATCAAAGGAAGGATATAAGAAGATGTTAGTTGAATGTGGTAACATAAGCCTTGCACAAAAAGGGGTAGGCATGATTGCCCTCTTAGCCAAAGGAAAGAGCATTAGAAGGCAAAAGAGAAGTCCAAATAGACCAAATCTCAAAGACTAATGATTGGAGTTCTAAATGATTTTGGGCATGACTTTGAAAACAGGATCGGACCGGCCGGTTCAACCATGAACCGGTCCTAATGCCGGTTTGGTACTCTTAAAAAACCAGTCTAGCATCAACCGGTGAAAACCGGTTTGACCCGCCGGTTGAACCGGTCAGGTTCTTAAGAATCACCCGGTTCAATTATAATATATTTAAATAATTTAATTTAATATAAAATATTTTTTCAAATATTAAATTAACTTAAATATGATCTATAATTCCAAGTTTTTTTAATATTATATACATTATTAAATACAAAGGTATCATAACAACATGATTTCTTCATCCCATGAGGGCTCTTAATCAATGCATACAACAAAATGTATATAAACCACAAAACATAAATCTACGAAATGATGTGGGACTAAACAACTTGTATTTTCTAGTTCCAACAATGTATGCATGATGGAGCCGCGGTGCCGAAACTGTTTTGCCTGATTTGCCGTTGTTTGCGGGTACAAGCCCACCTCGTTATGTTCCGAACATGTGAACGCGTTTCGTTTTAACGGCAGGGGTTAAGGCACGTGGCATGTGATGTTGCGTTCCAGTGTCTCGCGCCCGCGTTAATCCTCGTGTCCCAACGCCGGTCACAGCTAAGCTCATCAAAGCGGCTGATTGGGCTGCGGCTTGGAAATCGCCGCGCCTGATTCGCGCATGGGGGTGGCTATTTGGTTAATCGGACGGTGGGAATATCGAGCACACGTGGAAAAATGGACATCGGACGGCATCTCATATGCTGTTCAGCGGGACCGCACGCACAAGATAACGGGTCACTGGATTGTATTGGTTCGAAGGCGAAGATTGCCGTTCTTTTAGGATAAGATGCGGAAGAAAACATACAAAGCTAATATGATAAAAAGGTGAAATGCTGTTTTGTTTATAATAAAATTTTATTTAAAATATATATATTAATAATAATATTTATAAATACGTAATTTTTTTGGATATTAAGGCTATTAAGATAAAATTCAAATATAAATCTCATACACAAAAATTTCGAACCCAAGACTTAATAATTAATAGCCTAAGTTCTCAACCCAATAAATCAAAGTGAGTTGTGTAATAGTAACTATTTTGAATTCTCTATAGTGACTCAAATTTTATAGATAGAGGGGTGATCAAGTTATTTAAGGAGAGGAGATTATTCTTATGTGGGGGATCGGATGAATCAGTAATGCCGTAGGAGACTAAAGAATATGTCAGGTCAGCGGAAACCGAAGCCGCGATACGAGCAGCAGGGGTGACGTGAAACATTATGATTGATCTCCGGATGATGTTCAACATCTGCATAAATAATTAATCTTTAGGGAGACCAATATATCATATTATTATGACCTTTTTTTAGCAATAAAATTTCTTATAATTTCTCTCTTTTTAGAGCTCATTCCTCCATCAAAAATATTTTGCATTTTTTTCGCAATCTTTTTAATAGCCTCATAGTTCTTAAGATAATGTAAATCATCAGGGTCACCATAAGCTAATCAAGGCTAAGATTTCATTTGGGATAACCTACTTACTGCTTTATGAAGCAATTTAGTTTTTTTTTTTAATTTGAATTTTTTGTACTTGAAAGCTGCTTCATAAAACAATAAGAAAGTTGTTTCAAATGAACATGAGTTGAACTCACTTTAGCAATTTGACAATCGAAGTTAGAAGACTTGTGAGTACAGTAATTCACCTATTGGGCTTTAATAACTTAAAACTTAAAAAGAGATATTGGACCAACTTTTCTCATATAACAACTTTATTTTTTGCGTATATTAGACCTTTTTTTTTCTCGGATTAAGGCTTTCGTTTAGGATGCTTTCCTTATTATTTTTAAAATAATTTTTTTTAATAAAAATTAAATCATATCTTAATGAGTTTAATTCCTCCCCCCCCCCCCCCCCCCCTATAACCATTATAGTAAAGACTAAAAAAATGTATGAAAAGAGAAAAATTACCTTTTTTTTTTTTTTTGGGGGGGGGTGCCCCCTGACCACCAGGGGTTCCGCCCCTGCATATAAATGAAAACAAAACTAACAATTTTTTAGCATCTATTCTTCACATTCTAGAAGAGTTAAAAAAAAATTTATTATCATATAATTCAATATTTATTTCTCAATGTGAGTAACTAAAGTATCATTCATCAATGATTTCTATTATATTTCGTAGTCGATTTTTATGATATTTTGTATATCCATGATAGAAGTTCC